CTAGAAGTTGCACTGGTAATGTTAAGCTGCAGTCTTTGTTGTTTCTTTCCCAACGAAAGGGTAAAAAAAGTAACTCAGAAAGAACTGGAAGTGGTTATGAGACTAAAATGGACATCCAGCATCCTTTTTATATTCTGCTGTTAGTTGGGTCTCCCGTAAACAGTTTCATAGTGTCATATTTCTAAGGGCGAGACAGTTCTTAGGATCTGTGAAGGCTCACTCCTGTTACATTCTAAATGAGAAAATAGTAATATGTTTAGTCAGAAATGTGGAGTAGATAAATAACCGAATTACACGTTTTTTAGCAAAGAATTTATGCAGTTGTGATTTACCTTGAATTCATGAATATTATATCAGGTCAGCTACTATTACTTGTGCAAAGCATAACATGGTTTTAGTACCGTATCGCAATGCTTTTATTATTTTGCTCTCATTTAAGTATTCTCATGCATCGGCGTCTAGTTTAACAGGAAGACATACAAACAGAGTTAGTGTCTGATAAACTAAAAGTCCCAGTTGTCAAAAAGGTTCTTAATATTTGTCCACAGCCAGCTGCATTTAGTTGAGACACATAACACTCATGGTGGAGAAGATTTGTAGCTCAGGTGGATGGTTTGGGTGGTGTTTTGTCCTCTGAGCTATATGGTTTAATCGTGAAGCTTTCATCGTTCTTCTGAACGACATCATCAGCACTGGTCAATCGGCCATCAACACACATATTGAAACCAATCCAATTTATCAACCAATCAGGAAAATCATGCATAAATATAGGAACAAAAATCAAACCAGTGGGAGACACAAACAAAACAAGGAAGTAAACAGTGATAAATTTAAGGTCAACAAGAACCAATCAACGTCGCGGTGTTCAGAACAAGCTGTGAAACACATATGGAGAAATTTGAACACTTCACTTCTATCTGAAGTTTGTGCTGATGGTGTCGTTCAGAAGAACGATGAAAGCTCCACGACCAAACCATCCAGCTCAGAGAACAAAACTCCACCAAAAAACAGAACATTCATCTTCTAAGACTGTATACTGCTTTTCTGCAGGCAAATAAAAGCTCAGACACTTAGCTATCATGCTACCGATGTTATTGCTGAGGATATTGTTTAATGACAGTGCTCTTGAAACATGAACAGTGTTAGACGTACTGTCTACAAGTAAATACCAAACGTACTCAAAGCTATCTTATAATGTATGACAGCAACAGCATCAAAGGAAATTTCTTCTCCTATTTTTAATCAGACTGATTTCAGTCAGCATACTCACTAAAAACAGGCAGCTCTACTTACTAAACTGATCCGTTTCGCTACAGGCTTTAAGAACTATACTTAAGTATACTATAATTCTATCGACTAATCCAAATTATAACGGCAACCAAGAATACTAAACTAAGCAAGTGTCATAATTATTGTTCCATTTGCACAGACATGTTGCTAAACTGAGTAAAATGAACGTAATTCAGCCAGTAAAACCAAAACACAAAATAAAGGCCATTTGAACTTACCTAACAGAAGACTAAGGATACATATATATTGTTTTCAAACTGAAGACAACAGTCAGTTGTTCATAAAAACATAGTATACAGTACAACAAACATTTCTTCAGAAACATAGTCCACTGAAGCTCTATCTGGAAACAATTAACTATGTGAATAAACTAACTATGATTTGAGATATCGTTCCAGAGTGCAATAAACGTACAGTGTAACACGGTCGGACATGGCGAATAAAAATTAAAACAGAACAAAATTAACAACATAATCTAGTTATTTAGTTGAAAATTCACTATGAAATGACAAAATCTGTGGTTACTTGAACGCACAGATGACCGTTATTACACTGGGTGATACATTAAGTTCACATGGTTGCGTTGCGGATAAATTCACCCGCGAAAGGCGCTCTTGTAGCCTTCATGTCGTATTTCCCGCTGAGAAATATCTTAACTGCTATTGGTCTGTTGCGTTTTTTAGTATGCCATTTGTTAACTCGTTCCAAGGACAGTTTTGTGCTGTACATGTACGTTTTGAATTGTGTTTGTTGTTATCACTCATTTCTGGCTGTTTGCAGAATATACTTTCATATTCCAAGCTTGAACTTCTCCCTCTAGTTAGTGGACTGAGACGCATCAATAGCTAGCTTACTAGTCTTTGTTCACCGAGTCTTGTTTGTTGTTCGCAGATTAAGTGAACTCTTGATAGCTTAAACCTTAGCAGAGCAGTACTAGTATCACAGTAAACCATAATTATACAGGTTACCTACAGGCACGAAAGTGGCGAGCCCGATGTGATGCCAGAAGAAATACAATATCCAACATGACAGAACACTTAATGTTGCAGTGGCAATAACAAATTCCAAAACCATAAATTATTAAAGGATGTGTACAATACTTCAGACCGTTTAGGTTCAAGCCTATGTCATTCAGTGTATCGCTGTTCAGTCACGGCTAAATTATGGCTGTTGTGAGAGAGAGAGAGAGTAGTTACTAGTCACTATCAGTCTGTGAATTGCACGGATATATTTTGGCGGCAGTGGAATATAAACTAGTTTAAAGGCTTCCTAAAACTAACCAACCTTTGTTTATCAATCCCAAATACGAACCACTATTGTAATTTTGTATGCTCAGATGTTTAACTTGGTTCCCAAGTGATATTTCTAACGCTGAATTTCGTCAAAAACAGACTATCTTATCGCGAATTCGGATAGAAAATTAATGTACATATACGTTTTCCTTAGAAATCCAAAATGAATATATATCACCTATCTGCTCCTCGTTACGGTAGGTCTCATAGATTTCGTGCAGATTTTGATCTAAATAACACATGTCCAGTGACTCTTCAGCCTGGACCGCTGTTACTTGATCAGAAGACATACCTGTTTTCTAATAGTCTAACAGCAAAGTACGGTATCTAGAGCAAAATAATATTAAGGGGAAGACATGAGCTAAAAGTCTATCCTAATGAGATGTAACCAAGTCATCCTTGGTCAAGTTACGCAGATCGATACAGTTTCTATTATTTTGATGAGTTTCCTTGTTTTGGTCAACTAACTGTAAGTCATTGGACAGCGAAGACTATTCTTTAGGCTGAAATCACTATTCCATCACACAAATTATCAGGTAATCAATCGTAAGTTGAAAGCACTCACGCAACAAACATTATAGGGAATGATAGTCTGTAGAAGATTTTTTACAAGACCAACATCTTTCGAGGAACGAAGAGAGCTCAGAAAAAGTGTTGGTGGACGGATATGAAATTCCAAACAGAAGTAATTAGACATAGTGCTGTAATCAACTTTAAACATAGAAGCAACATGATAATTAGTGATGAAAAACCAACGCAATTTTAGAAAGAATGAGCTAACTCTTTATGGTTTTAAGAACTCAAAAGTCTACCGTGGAGTCAGCTCCCCAACACTCTAGCATGAAAATCCAGGTGGATTTTAACCTAGTTCACATAGAACAACATCAACAATATAAGTGCAGCATAAGCAAGTATGTTTAGGCCAGTTGAGATACCAGCGACTGTAAGGAAACTGTAATCAAATGTAACAATCCGTCATTCTTTACAGAAATAACGGAAACAATGCTTGTCTTGCCACTATTATATGACCCTGACTCGCATGCATGATAACGCCAGGCCCCCATCGCGTTTTTCAAATGAGATTTCAACTGGTAATCGTCAGTGTTAGGATTTAAGAATAAAGACACTGATTTTTGATCAACAGTTACGAATAATGATTTGACGTTTCTCCGACTCCCAAATTTTAAGCGTAACATACATGTTAGGAATACTAGATTTCGAAATTGCAACGACACTATTATCATCCCCATGATATCATATGCTCTAATAATTCATTAGTACTCGGTACGTCCTGCAAAAGGTGATCCGAGACGCCAACATGGATGGAGAATGATATTTATGCAAAGATAAATACTTCTGATGTTGAAACATCATGCAGGTCGGTCACGTTCCATTCTTTTTTATCAGTATGTCAGGACTAATGTAGTTGCACGGGGCTTCATCCTTAGACCGGTTTTCTGACCATTCTTTATTAGTGATTTTCAAGCATCCATGTTGTTTTGTATTTATTTGGCAAACGATATAACGGTATATGGATATCGTTTAGATTTAATAGTTCTTGTATGTAGTTTGTAGCAAGGTAGCTAGCAACGTGCTTCCATTAAGGAATAATGAATGTTAAGTGATACTTACTTGAAATAACCGTAGGCGTATCCTGGATTTCCCGAGTGACTTCAATATGACACTAAATGGATTGAAAGGCACTAGGGTTTTAGTGTGTATAATAGATCTAATTTCTGTTTCTGGTGAGGTTCGTCGGGTAGTAAGGGAGATACTGATTGTGAACTTATGTTTTGGGCTAATGATAACCTCATTTCCACATCATCCGAAACTGTTTGTAGTAAGAGGAAGATCCATATCTCCCGAAAGCTTTAGTTTTTACGTACGTTTACTTCAAGTTAGTCCAGAGGACATTCATGAGGCATTTGAACAAAGGAACTAGTCCCGATTCGATGACTAAAAGCCCTGAAAATTCACTGTGTCAATGATCGAAGAGTTGAAGAAGATTCGGCGACGGTTTCCTATACCGACTGCTATATCTGACATTCTCCAGTCACAAACTACTGTTCATAAGAGCATTTAATAAAAGAGCATCCAAGGTCCGGATACAGAAAGTTGGCTCAAAAGTATTTGAAAATGTGACAAAATTCTGCAGGCAGTCCAACGTTTTGCGAGAAAAGATGAAAACGTATCAGTAATAACTCAGTGGAAAACTGTATATACTTTGAAATAAGTGTGGGTTGACCTTTACTCAGGTACCTCTACACTGGTCAGTTTTAACTGGATTCTTGAAGAAATGGTACATGTATTTGTGCAAAATAATTACAAGAATAGAGCATAATCATTATATAAAGGAAAATATTTGTAAGCAGCAATTCACATTTTCCAAGGATTTTGTTTGTATCACCACATTTTGCTAGCGCCCTAGTCAGTTTTGACCTCCATTTGTGATGAATGCGTCGGACTTGTCAGTTATAGGCTGTCGCGTCAGTATAATATCTAAAGCCAAGATAAGATATGAAGGAAACCTTCACTCCATAGATTTTGACACGCCCAACGAACCCGTTATTACTCTTTCAAAGGGTACTTAATGTTCTTTCTCAGTTTCATTATTACAGTTTGGTCTTTTGGCACTGAGGACCGCCCTTGTGAGCGACCAGTTGCTCCTCGGAATGAAGAGTATAATCAGGTGGTGTTTCGTGGCCGGGATCTAGACGACGTACGTGTCGTGCAGTCTTCTGTATTTTTAAATGAAGACTCTGCAATCGTTAGTGCAGCACCTGGGGTATGTACTTTCTCTACTTATTTATGTAATTAGTCTGCTTTGTCCCACCCTCCTGGACTCCCAGTTAATGAAAGTAGAGGTCGCTTGGGTGGGTTTTCACTTTGTTACTCTATTCCTTGCAGATCTTAATCCTAGTCGTGTTTCTACTGGATGCTCAGAATTGTCTCCCATACCAGCATCTCAATCTGTCTCACTTGATAGCCTAAATCAGAATACCTACCTAAACAATTCGTACCAGATGCCTTCAGTTGGTTGTCGGCCGGCTCCTATAGGGACTGTCCATGCTGATAGCCCCCAGGTTTCTGATACTCGTGGCCAAAGACCGTTTGGAGATATGCGTAGCAACATAGACCCAGGGACTTTAAGCACATCTGGAAGAGGAGGTACAAGTTCTAGGGATGTTCAAGAGTCTGGATCAGGTCCTTCTAGACATCGTGCTGTCTTGGGATCTGGTGTGCATAACGACTACCCACAGCCATGGGTTAACCGAGACCAAGGGGTTAGAAAGGGTGACACTCACAAAAATACACCTAATTATCATCAGGGGCATGATTACTCAAGAGATAGGCGCGGAGGATATAGTCAACAGTGGTCAACAAATCATCGTGGCTCCAGGGGTTCTGGGCATACTTATGGTGGTTGGGGTGGTCGGTCAGCGGGTGGTCATGATTGGCCTAAATTCAGGTCAAATGCATCTACAGTAAATGAACACACCAACTTTTCGTTAGAATATGACTATGAAAGAGCTAACGCAGAACTTGCAGCTGAGTTGAAAAAAATAACGATCAGTACTGTAAGTGTTGGATATACTGTGATTTCCGTTTATAGAAAACAGGTTCGTCAGGTACTTCCGTCGACAACGCGGAAAATGATGGAAGCAGCACAACTGAGGACGAAAACACGTGCTATGATAAATCCAAGTCGTTTTTCGATACTATTAGTTCCGAGATGATGGACCGCGCAAATGGGTGAGTAATAATTTCATTTGAAATTCTGAGTGTGCGACGTATAGCCTTGCTTCTTTTTGTTTTCAAAATATGCCTTTAAGACAACGCGTATTGTCAGTTTTTTATGTCAAAGTATTTCGATACCTGCCGTAAACTACACAAGCACCAATTTGATAATTAGATTTAGTTTGTATTCACAACCGATCTAAGGATTTTATGGTTTGCTTACTCTTTGTGCTTATTTTCTCGAGAATAGGGGAAATAGCTGCGTTGTAAACCTTCATACTTTCAACTATATATATATATATATTCCTGTAACAACTATCGGGGGATAAGTCTACTTCCGATTGCGTCCAAGCTATTGGCTTCCGTCATACTTCGTAGGTTGTTCAAAACACGAGAAAGATTGACTCGCGAGGAGCAGGCTAGGTTTCGTTCTGTTCGAGGATGTATTGATCATATCTTCACCCTCCGCCAAATGTTAAAACACCGCCATACTTATCAAAGGCCAACAATCGTAGTGTTTCTTGACATCAGGGCTGCCTTCGATTCGTTGGAAAGGACTGTTCTCTGAGATTGTCTATTGAAGAAAGGTGTGCCTGAGAAGTTTATTAACATCCTAAAAGCCCTATATACAAGGACCTCAGACAGAATGAGGGCATACAACCACCTTTCTCCATTGTTCTATTCGAGAAGTGGGGTTAGACAGGGTTGCCCAATCTCACCATTCCTCTTCAACTTTGCCATCCATGACATTCTAGAAACAGCCCTGATGGATGTAAGTGATGGTGGTGTGGATCTGTTGCCTGGAGAAAGACCTATCGACCTTGAGCATGCAGATGATATTGTCTTACTATGCGATAATGCCCAAACCATGCAATCCGCACTTGATCAGTTGGCAATCAGTGTCCGTAGGTACGGTATGTGCTTTGCACCTTCGAAGTGCAAAGTACTTCTACAAGACTGGCAGGATCCTAACCCTATACTCACTCTGGATGGTGAGCAGATAGAAGTAGTCGAGAAGTTCGTGTATCTGCATAAGTGCTGGTGGGGCTGTGAGTGATGAGATCAATGCACGTATAGTAAAAGCCAGAGCGGCTTATGCCAATCTGGACCATCTTTGGCGCCTTCGTGATGTTAGTCTGGCTGTAAAAGGTCGGATTTACAACGCGTCGATGAGAGCAGTTTTGCTCTATTCTTGTGAAACCTGGCCTCTCCGAGTTGAGGACGTTAGACGACTCTGTGTTCGATAATCGATGTCTCCGAAGGATTGCTGACATCCAGTGACAACGCCATGTTAGTAATGCAGAGGTTCGGCATCGTGTGTTCGGGCACAGAGAAGATAATGCAATTGGTGTCACCATCTTGAAACACCGACTTCGGTGGCTTGGACACGTTCTACGAATATCTTCTCAGAGAATTTCACGTCGTGCATTATTTGCGGACTCTGGGACTGGTTGGAGAAAGCGGAAAGGTGGTCAGTATATGACAGAGTGTCGTGGTATGAAAGAAAGCTGCAAAGGACTGGCTTCTGTCGGTCCTTCACGACTCCCTGGTTGAGGTCCGAAAGATGGTGCTACACAGTGGTTAGTGACGTTATCAGATATGGCTCAGAATAGAAGCCAGTGGCGATCCTGCTGTAACCTTCTTTTACTTTCTCCATAAAAGTGGTTGTTTTTTTAACTGAAAGATTTCTTCTGATTGTACCTTTCCGTTCCCTCATTATGACTGTGATTATTACTACATTCCCTTACACCAATCTCCATTATAGTTTTTTTAACGTCCCTCATTGTTTTTTTTCTTAAATTTTCATTGTTTTGTGTGGCGCATATATATTTGGCGCACTCCTGTACCAATATATGTGTTCAAATATATATATATATATATATATATAACATCCATTGGCATACTGTTGGGTTTTAAACAACATCAGCGTTGATACTAAAGTAAATTCGTTAACCTCTTAGACTTGAATTCTCACAGTACTTTCTCAATGGGCGTATCATGTCTTATCGATGTAATCAAGAGGCAGTGACCGTTAATGTCGAGATATTTGATTTTCAACTTTAGGGTTGGCGACTAAAACGTTGTTCTAGTTTAGTTTGTATAATTGGATAATGTATTTTATGGATACGTGAAGTTGAGTGCATAAATATGTACTTTGTTGTCGAATTACATAAGGATGTTTTACAGCGCTGGAAACTACAATTTAATTCAGGTACACGCTTTACATTGTTAGCGTAAGTATTTTGATTATAAGTCGTTAACTGTAAACAAAGCGAATCCTACCTCTCAGTTACTAGTAACATTTCAAACTGATATAAGCCTCCAAATATTTACAACTAATTTTGTGGGACTGATTTTCCTGGCAGTCAAAAGAAGGTGGCGTTGAGATCATACGTGACTTTTTATCCCGAAAGTTTTATTCAGTTCAGTAGGTAATATTAATAATCTATTACACCTAGTATTGGAATCCACTATGTAGCTCTCATGGGAGTCATGTCATGTACTGTGAATAGGATATGCTAGTAGTTAAAATATTTGTGAATATTGTTGTTCTTATTCAGTCAAGTTTGGAGCTTTGTTATGCCCCGATAAGAACAATAAGTGGTAATTTTTGGGATGCATTTGTGGACCAATATTATACGTATCCAGTCAGTCAGTTAGTCAGTCAGTAACAACGTAGAACTTCGTACGTACGTACATCAGTTCGAGTTGCCACACCACCTTAACACAGAGATGCAGTTGTCGATTCAAATCCCGTAGTGGTAGAGGTAGCAAGAGTGTAAGCAGTGATCGGGAAGATTAGGGTTTGGGGATGTTATTTAAAGAGTATAATTCAGTGAAATAAATTTGGAAAGAGGAAAAAAGGGACATGAAGAATTCAGAAGATTAGAATTTGGGAGAACACAAAGAGTGGATGCACCTGCGCCATTGCAAACGATTTTGAGCCATGTCATTCAGGGTCTCTAACCATCGGTTGCTATCATCTCGCGGTCCCCAACCAGGTAGTCTACACCTATCAACATGACTCAGACCACTTGTCAGTGACTTCATGGACTTGTGCCATGTTTTGGTCTGGCCGCCCCTAGCTTTCTTCCAATCTACTCCCATACCACTGAACATCGCACGTCGAGGCAGTCGGTCGTTGGGCATACGTAACACGTGTCCCAGCCATCTCAACTGATGAAGTTTCACTACTTCATCAATTGATTTGCCATCCTTACCTAGTACCCGTTTCCTAACAACTGTTACTTACTCGATGGTCCCATGATATACGATCAATGTTTCGAAGACACCTATGATCGAATACTAGTAACCTACGAATATCCTCTACTCTTACCGGCCATGTTTCACTTCCATAAAGTAGGACGGGACGTACTGCTGCACAGTAAACCCGTCCTTTGGTTGATAGACGGATATCTCGCCTACGCCATAAATGACGCAAGTTCGCAAAAGCTAGTCGAGCCTTCTGTATCCGTGCTGAGATTTCGTCACATACCAGACCACAAGGACTGATGAGACTTCCAAGATAAGTGAAGCGGTCGACACACTCAACTACTTCACTCCCCATCACTAGTTCGGGTGTCGATGTAACCCAATCCTGAAGCAACATTTTGCATTTCGAGGGAGAGAATCGCATCCCGAACATGCTTGCATTGTTGCTTAGAGTGGTCAGAAGACTGTGCATTTTGTCAGCGTCTTCGCCAAATAAAACTATGTCATCAGCATATTCTAAGTCAACAAGTGAACCTCCCGGTAGAAGTTCAACCCCTGGAAATCCAGACGAGGAAAGTGTTATCTCTAAAAGTACGTCGACCACAAAGTTGAACAAGAATGGAGAGAGTGGACAGCCCTGACGAACACCACTTGATGTAATCAATTCTGATGACAGTTCGCCATAAGCTCTCACTCGACCAGTTGTGTTCGAGTAGAGAGCCTGAATAAGGTTAATGTACTTCTTTGGTACTCCTTTCAGTGACATACACTGCCATAGAACCTTACGACCAACCGAGTTGAATGCCGCCTTAAGGTCGAGAAATACTACCATTGTCGGGCGTCTAAACGTGTGTCTGTGTTCTAGAACCTGACGTAGTGTGAATATTTGGTCTATACAACCACGTCCAGGTCGAAAACCAGCCTGATTTTCTCTAGTCTGTTCTTCACGAGCTCTGGTTAGGCGTCGAAGTATTATTGAAGCTAATATTTTAGACACTATATTAGTCAAACTGATTCCTCTGTGATTGTCACAAGAGGACTTTTGTCCTTTCTTATAGACTGGCACAATCAGTGATTGAGACCAGTCAGATGGGATTACGTCCAGTTCCCAAATTCTACCTAAGACATCAGTTAATTTCACTGCTAATACTGAACCACCATCCTTAAAAATCTCAGGAGTAAACCTGTCAGGGCCTGCTGCTCTCCCTCGTTTCAGATTTCCTATGGCTTTTTCAACTTCGTTAAGAGACGGAGGACCTACACTAACTTGCCATTCAGGTTGACTGGGGATCGTGGGAAACCGAAGTGTGGCTGAAGGCCAGTTGAACTGATCCCTGAAGTGTTCTGCCCATCGATCCAATCTCCTGGATTGGGAATGAATAATATGTCCATCTTTCTCTGAGATTGTTTCGCTAACGGTCGGGTTCCTAATTCCGGTTTCCTTAACGAGTCTGAACAATTGTCTGCTATTACCTATTGCTGCTGCCTTCTCCATCTCTCTTGCTTTCGCTACCCACCACTGTTCACGATCATTGCGTAGACTTCTTGTCAGCTTGCGCTTAAGCTGACTCCGCTCTTCATTATGTTCAGAGCCAGATGGAATGAGTTTCCGAGCATCTATCAGTGCGATAGATGCTGCTGAGATCCAGTGTTGCTCTCTAACCTTCTGGTTTACCTTACTAGCAGATATCATTGCTGTTTCCACAGCTTTTCGGATATCATTCCATGCTGCATCGGGGTGGGCAGCACATACATGGCTGCCTAACTGTTTTCCTAGTTGTTCCTGAAATATACTCTTAGCTTGACTATCATTAAGTAGGCCCCTAAGAGGTTTCCTTGCAGCGGTTTTCCTACGTCCAGTAAGACGTAGGCAAATACGCGCTCGTACTAGAGCATGATCTGAATCTAGGCATGTGCTCCAGAATGAGCGACAGTCTTCTATCGAGCCCCTCCATCGGTGGCTGATAGCGATGTGATCTATTTGGGTCCAACGTTGGGACGAATTAGGGGGTCGCCATGTTAAAAGATGTTTTTCCTTATGCTTAAAGTTAGTATTTGCAAGGAACAGGCGATTATCTGAGCATAGCTGCAACAGACGGTCGCCATTATCTGTTCTTTGAGCCACGACACCATAAGATCCACCTAGGTGTCTTTCCCTATCGCTTAGTTTACCTACTTGAGCATTAAAGTCACCGGCCACTATTACTACATCCGAGCGCCTAGCTTTTCGGAGAAGGTCGGAAAGCTTTCTGTAAAACTCATCTTTTATATCATCTGGGCTGCAGTCAGTGGGAGAATAGGCAAAAACGACGAAGAGGCAACGACGGGTGTCCCTATCTTTTCGGATCCTTACTGTTCCGTTTAGTCGGACAGCGCACAAACGGCTGTCTACTGGGATCCACTCTAAGAGAGCTAATTCTGCTCTGGGACTCAATGCTATACCTACGCCGGCGAGTCCACGGGAAGCAGAATCAGGGCTTCCAGATACACGAAGCGTAAATCGAGTCGGTTCTTTATTTTGGCATGGTGAAGTGAAATGAATGACGCTACTCGGATTCTGTATGCGCGTTTCGGAGACGCAGCACACATCGATGGTGCGAGATTCTAAAGTCCTAGCTAAGGAAGTCTGCTGTCCTATTTGGCACAGTGTTCGGACGTTAAAAGCTCCTACGTGTAGTTTATAGCGTGGTTTCAGGAGACCAGGAATAGAGTTCCACGTACTCGAATCGTTTGCCCTAGCGGTGCGAGGTGATACAGAGACATGAGGAGGGTTAGTCATGGAGATAAGAGAGGTATTAGGAGGTGTAGGAAGGATTTGAATGTGACCAACTTGGTCTCGTGTGCTGTTACGGGTATGAGGGCTGGAGTCACTTCCCGGCTGCCCACACCGTAGAAGGGTATTTCTTGAGGAACCTGAAAAAGAAATTGGATTAGTGTTGGTCTTGACGACCTGGGAGCGTGACCGCAGAGCCCAAGGGACAACTGCTTGAGGCCGGTCGCACACGGCCTTTTTGTGGAAGGTTTTTGACGTTAGCTCCGTTCTTCAAAGGGCCTTACCGCCGGAGACGGAAATCCGTGAGGTAAGGTGAGGTGTGACATTTTTAGGGTCGACCTTTTCTAACCCCACCCCTCCTTGTGGGAAGGCAGCATCGCTGTCATGCTGGTTGTCTGAGGGAAACACCTTACTGCTGTTACACCTCTCTACAGTCAGCAGTACGACTTCGCCCTCAGACCTTGAGTTGCTGCTTTTAGTCTTACCGTTCACCAATCGACCTGCCTGGCATGGTAGAACCTACAGAAACATATGTTCCAGCCAATATAGCTCGGTTGGGTCATCACGATAGGCAAGCCCGACCACCGCGTCAAGGTAGCAGCTTCGGTAGGGATATTATACGTACGTATATTTTTTTTACCGTATAATTGTTAATTAACTAAACTATTCATATTATACGTATATTTTTACCGTATAATTGTTAATTAACTAAACTATTCATATTCATGTCTCTCTTATCATAAGCTTTATTTTAACCTATAAACTGTTATTATACGATTTTCCGTTCTTGAATTATTCCGTCTATTAGTCACTGCCTCCCTCATACATATCTGGTGAATTCTTGTACAAATGTTTTATATTTTATTGGTACGTTGTTTGATTGGTATATAAACTCAGTATGTTTGAAATATGATTCATATTACGGAAACTGAGACTGGTGTTTTGGACTTAACTGGCTGAGCTAGGCGGAAAGCAAGATCAATCAGGACTCTAGGCTGCTCGCACGTGTTTTATGCATCCTTAGTCCGATCGATAATTCACTGCTTCTGATTGGCGGCTTTGGGCTATAACAAGCTTTGAGGTTTGGTTCACTTAACACCCGAAATGTGATCATTTTTCCTTCCAAACACTTGATTGTATACGTTCATTCATAAAGTAAGATTTCTTATAAGCTAGGTTTTCTAGTCTACTCATTAGATATCGCAACCATAACATTTACTACGTTTACCCTAACGATTGGCTTGATTGGAAATGATTGGCCAAAAACGTATCATAGCTGTGTCTAGAGTGGAGTATTCTAAATTTGTTAGTTTGTTATATTTAATTTTCAATTTTTATACTTCTGTTTATCACTAGAGCGCTTTTGCCTTGTTTACATGTTTCATGTTAAGCTTATCATAGTCACAAAATCGTATACCGGTTATGATAAACTAGATGGTTTCCGTTTGTTAGTACCTATTAGTCTATTATTTGGTATTTCTAGTTGATTTTTGCCTACTGCTTGCTAATCTAACGAAATCGTGCTTTATTCAGCCTAAATCCTCAAGGAATGAACAGACGGGACGAAAGACTCCTCAATTCAGCAACTTTTGGTACTGTTCCACAGCAGTATCCCAGAAGGACAGGATATCACAATCAACGTTCTTTTGGATATGGCCAAAAAAGAGGGGGTAATTCATCTAGTGGTAACTTCTGGCGATCTAGTGGTACTGGAACCAATAAGTCCCTATTCTCCAATTCATCACACGCACCTCTTCCAACATCTGGACGAGCTGGTTGATATGGGCCTTGTACATTTTACTGCAAATAATTACTTCAATATGAAACTCCTTAATACAAAGTGATCGACTGATATTCAAACTTATCTCGGTCTTTACAGATGACTTACTAGCTCATGTTTCTATGGGACTAATTTAATTATTTTTGATTGACAAAATGCATACTGTTAGTGCTTCTGTTGGTATAATACTGTTCGGAATTGAACTGTTTTGTGTTTAAACACGGTTGCATTTATTGTTTGTTGTAATTGCTTTTCGATCTGACTGTTGGTTTATTTCGAGCAGTTTACATTTTCTGAAATATAATCATGTAAATACCTGTTTTGCAAATATATTTTAAAATAACTAATTCAGTGATTATTGCTCATACACTTCTATGATGTTAATTGTATTTTTCGTGCTATTATTTAGTTTAATTGTTTGCGAAATATTTAGATATTTTGTTCGCTGTTTGTAGGCGTTAACTAGTAGAAAGTAAACCGAGCTATTCGTAAGTTGAGCAAGTCATGCTGTCTTTTAGTCTGTATTTTATCAAGCTGTAATAGGTGACTGCTGGTGCGAAAAAAAGTTTTTTCGGGAAACATAGTACTAGGTTCCAATAGTCCTTTTCTAGACAGACTTTAAGGCAACACCTTTAAACTAGGTATTAGATTACAGGTTTCTGCTGGCGTTCTTTTGGTTGACAGTATGGTCTTCACATTTGGGGTTTTTCTATCTAACAGCTGCTTCTGGTTGACATTGAGTAAAGCAAGTTTTCTGTCGATTGATGTACTGAACTGTTAAAATCATTAATCCATTTCATGTGTGCCAGTAAGTGGAATTCATTACTTGCTCATGATCAATTTTATGCGCTAGAAATTTCTCAGTACATAGAAGATATGAGTGGAATTTGAACACTCCTGTTATGAAATAATTAGGAATCGTTGCTTAAGTAGAAAAATTGGATGTTTACTTCTAAATATAATCCAGTGATCTGTTATTGGACTTTTATGTATATTTACTGTGTAATAGATAACGGAGTACGGAAATTAGGAGCAAGAAAACCAATTTTTTTCACCCAGGATTTGATATCATTGTTCGTTAACATTATATCATAAGGGATATCCTATCATTTTTTCAATCCATTATTTTATACCAATACCAGTCGCATTCAGATGATACACTGACTAACTTTTAGGATAGGTCGGTGTAAACTCTACACCTCAAATTAGGAAGAGAATATCCTCGTAAGTTTTCCACCAGTTTGTGGGTAGATATGTGTGCCGGTAATTTGAATAACACTATTTGGAGATGAATGTATATTTAGCGTGATTCAACGAATCTTGCCACGATATGAACAATTACTATTCAAATATCTTGTTCGTGTTTCTAGTCCCAACTATACTTTCGATAGGGATGGATTGTTATCTGCAATGTAAGTAATGTATTAGATTTTAGTTTTTCTTCGGGGCTTGTCATGCTAGTCCCTTATCGGAATGATGAAGTATGTTTCAAAGAATCCAAGTGTTAGGAAGGAACGTTAGTCTAATTTAAAATATAGACTCAGTTTTGAAAGAATTACCTTTGTTGTCTTGAATAGGACTAGTATAACAATATAAGCAAGAAGACCAAATATCTAGGACAGGAAGAATTAGTCAAGGATATAGAAATGCCGAATTTAACTGTTTGAGGCCATAAAACATCACACAATTAATAATTAGTTACTTAATAATAATCTTTTAGGTGATAATTTCTGTTTTCAGCACAGAGATCATCTACAACAACAACAACGTTGCTCTCAAGCTATTCAATCCTACATAAGTGTGACATTTAATACTCTGAAAAGCAGTGTAACTCATAAACAATTCCGACTGAAATTTTGTTCCGTATAAAGTCAGATAAGCGACAATGACTACATAACTTGGGATGGGGATTATATTTTCTGACGGATCGACATTCGAAGACAGTAAATTAATGAGTTTTATGACGATAAATGTAAGTAAAAATACGAATAATGTTTCCCAAGAGCATAAAACATAAGATAAAGTAAATGAAATGGATAGATCTTGATTCTCATCTTAATTCTTGTCCATTGCAAGTTAAAAGTTTGGGTAAAATCTAGTGCTTAAAATATGTGGTTTGCTAGAGTTTTTTTTTATTTGAAGAGTTTTTAGGGGAGTACTTCGTGAGGTCGCTGACGTATTCTTCAGCATAGTTGGCTTACGGATTTTTTCGATCAAGTGGTCCACAATGTAGGTATACTGTTTATTTTGTTTTAAAGTGGCGTACATCAGTTTAATGATTTATGTGATTGTAATCAAACTCGACATTCAAGATTGACTAAATAGGTCGTCAGAGTGTAAATGTAACTTCTGTTGAGAGGTAGTCGTTTATTGTTGAACATCACAACATGAGTATATAGTTTACTGAGCGAAGTTATACGTGATTATGCGGTAATTACAAATATACAGATTACTATTTTATGTAAAAAGGATTCAATCGAAATTCCCCACTCGGCTCAAACTTAAAGTGAATAGATTATCCTGTTCCTGTTCCTAACTATTAGTTGAAATTGTGTATCATGTGGCTAATAATCTGGTGTATTATTTAGTATCGTAATCTAAGCTGTCCAGCCGATTATCTTATTTTCAAACAGTACTAATTTGTTATCAAGAGCGTAAAAGCAAAGGTTTTCAACGCTGTATCAGTATCTGATTGATGTCTATTTGTGTCATTGGTTTCATAATGTAAGGTTGATGTTTATAATACAGATAATTAATGTGAGGTGCAGAGGATTTATACATATATAGTACTACTGATAATGAAGCCAGCAGTCTAGCAGACACTAGAGTAACAATACAAAGTTTGTAGCTTCCTAGTCAATACTGATTGATAAAAGCCTAAATGTCCATTTTCTTTCATTAATATTAGCATGACTTTGTTTTGAAAAAATCAATGATATGGACTTATGGGAAATATGAGTGACTTGACGTATACAGTTAAGTAAATTTTAACAGTTCAGGCTTCAGATGATGGTTTAAATTAAAAAGAATGGACGTAGATTTATGCATACTTGTCATAGTGTCTGGTAACAATAATATTTGTTTTTCTGTTATGAAACCATCCCTTGTCACAGCAATATTTTATGCATCTTCAACTGACTAAGTTTATCAATGATTTCCATACGATTAGATTCACATCATGTTGATGGGCAACAAGATCTGGAGGTTCTGAACGAAATTATTGAAGTGCTCAGTAAAAGTATTCTCAATGGAACTTTCTTTGTGGGAATCATGAATTCGCAACTGTTAATCATAATGAACTGGGAAGTTTCAATGAATAAATATAAAATACAAGATTTGTCAGTAGGTTTCTCCTATCTCATCTTATTCCTTGAATGTATAACCACGATAAGTCTCCTGAACATTAAACAACCTTTAAGTGCTTCCGATTCACCGTTTATCAGGCAATTTATAATGAAGAGCCAAACTAGTGTGAAAGTATATTAGCATTAGTAAATAACTGGAAAGTCAATAGATTATCTGATGAAAAGTTAACGTACAATATTAAGGATCTTGTTAGTGCTTCTAGTGTACATGAAATAGGACTTTTATACATTTGAGTATGACCGATATTCACCAGTTTTAAGAAATATATCTTGCTTACAAAAGATTTTAAAAAGTTGTTTTAATTAATAGGAAATCGTTTACTTAAATAGATGGTCTAGTACGACTTCATTTTGGATGACTTATAAATCAATGTCTGAAAAAAACAATACATGGAAATTTACTGTCCAAAGATCGATATGAGATAATCTTTGGCATCGTTAAATGTATAGTTTCATAATAATAAATGATAATAAATATCAAATCAAATGTCTAAACTATTAAATCCTACTGAAACAATTTAGTAGTCTCATTCAAATGACTAATGATAATCATATTATCTTCGAAAACTGTTAGTTTACATACTATCCTGTCCAAGTCTATCTGGTTTATGTAGTCTATGTTTGAATCATACAATTATTATTCATCATCATCAATACCGACAGACTTATTCAGGTCAAGTGAATTGGATTCGAATCACAACAACTACTGACTGACTAAGGATATAACATTCATAAGTGGGTAACTTGTCTTGATGTTAAAATATTTACAATTTGTTAATAGGAAGTCAATATACCGTTTAGTAGTCAAGGGAAATACTTTTTTTTTCCTGAAAGAATAAATAAATATTTTGAGGGTTTAATTTTACTATCAATTATTGTGGCAATAATATTGTTTTAAACCGGTATATATAGTTTACTATGCAACTCTTAAAGATGATATTTATCTTGTGGGTATCTAAAGAGAGTATATAGTAAAGTTTCTCTCATGTGACGTTTACGTGTTTTGTCATTAAAATAACCCTAGTGAAATCCATATACAAACTTATTGTATAGCAAACAAAATCATTATAACACATGATATTTATTTTATTTTAACACATAAATATTCGTACAAGGAGGCACCAAATACATATGCGCCACACAAATCTCATTCGATATGTGTGAGTGCTGGGATACTGCTCGGGTGCACAAACCGAAGCAGGTGGTTTTCTTAAGGGGCCACTCCCTGAGCCTTCGACCTGAAGGTCTGACCCACAAGGCAGTGGAGCATCGTAAGGAGATGCAGTCCCATGGAAGCCGGTGACCAACAATTGGTACATATGCCATTCGTTCCCGCAGGATACTGGAGCCCATGTGCACCATTGGTTTGGAATCCGGCTAAAGCGCCGGACATTCGCTTTTCGTCCTCTCATTTTTGTAAACAACACCCCCGCCACGAGAAGACAGTGAGTAGGACTTCCCTGACAGAGGCTATATACGTGTGGCCATGTGAGAGCATTTCGAGAGGGAGAGCGGACTCTCCCCACTCTCGGCCATACCAGGGCATTTGGGGACTAACACATGATAAGGTCAAATGTTCAGCATTTTAGATTCCTTTAATTGACCTTTTAAATTTTTCATAATTATTTCCTATTCAATAAATAATTTTTATCTGTAATTCACTTGGTATTGTGTACTTCAATCTTCCCATTGATGTTTAGCACTGCAATTGATCAGTCTCTTATTGGCATATGTGCACACTGTACGTATTGCCTCGATATTACCTTAATTCACAAGCATTATATGATGAGACGCGTGTCCTAGATTCTACTGCTAGCCACTACCTATCTTTGCTTATAAGTTGTATCTGTTTTAGTTAGTTTAGACATTTTCTGTATATAAATAATGTTTAGTTAGTACAAATTTGTTAATTATTTCGTCTTTTCATATCCTATTGAGTTATATACTAAATAGGCTACGCAATCCGAAAGCCTGACTCAATA